AGTATTTTGCAGTCCATGCCTTAATTCCTGATTATTTTTCACTCTAGTTCATAGTGTCGAGTATTTTGACTGGCGCAGTAGTAATAGTATTTTAGTTTTGGCTAGAGTTTGATTATACGCTCGTGGTTTATTTCGGGAAATGAAAATTATATATATGCTTTTTCAAGATGCATTGCAAGAAGAGTTCAAATTTTTGACAAAGAAACATAATCATCAGAAAACAATATCATAAAAAAAAAGATCAAGGAAGCAACTTTTCCAAAAAAAAAAACATTTGGTCGTGCTTTTTGGCAATTCGTAATTCTTAAAGAAGGTCGTGAGGACGTTTCACTGTAGTTAATGGAAGATTTCTGTGTCATGTGTCTTTCGGATCGAAAATCCTGGCCTAGTTGCACGATCGAAGCCTTACGTTCGCCGATTGCTGCAATCGACGTTGCCGGCATGATCACAGGACTTCGTTTCTTGGTTCCAGAGGAGACCGGAGGGGCATTCCCTCTTTTCGGGCGTACCGTCGTTGCCTGGAAAAACGTAAGCAAAAATCATGCGCCAATTAAGAAGGGCATATTTATGCATGGCACGTTAGTAACCCATTTGAAATTAGAAATATGTTCGAAGTTTGATAACCCAATTGGTGAAGTTGACTTAGTCACTCACAGACATAATATTCGCTGCAAACCCCTGAGGGATAGTGACAGTCACACTCGCAAGTTGGAGGCTGTTCAATGACACATTCTGGGTAATTTTCAGGGTAGTCACATGTATCCTTCTCCGGGTTAAATACTAGCCCAGATGGCACGTGAAGAAGGTACTGTTCTTGTTCACCTGTAAATATTTTAATCTCTACTGAGTCATTGTGTTTGGATGTTACATCACTCAGATTGCTTTTGATATACCAAATTCAATCATGTGCACGTTTCAGACTGAAAAAAGATATGTGAATCAAATATAAATAATATAATCAAACAAGAAATAACCTACATCACAGTAGTAATACGCTGCGCAGTCATTCGGGTGAGGGAGATGGCAACATTCGCATATGCATTCGGGTTGGCGTAGGGGGGGCCAGTAGGGATTAGGGAGGGGAATTACGCAAGTCTCTGGTGCTCCCCTGAGGTACAGCCTGCCCTATATGGCCAGTCGCATACCTTTTTAAACAAGTAAAGATTTAGACATCACCAATAGAATATAAAATGTAGTTCCAAATGACATGGATACAGAACATATTCATAAAGTATCAAAGCATGTAAAATGGTCAGAAGCAAGTATACTCAAAACTGGAGACCCCATTTGACATGAAGGATGAGATTAAGTGGAATAGTGTGTAATAGAAGGTTCTCCGTTCTTGCTTAAGAAATCACTAGGTACCTTGAGTGTTGGGTTAAAGTGCAAACCGGCAGGGCAGTCCTTCACGTAGGGGATGAAGTGGTCGCAGTGAACCCACTTGGTGCAGGCCTTTGGGTGTGGGAAAAGACCACTGTAAGAAGGACACGAGGGGTTGCAGTCGTCTGGTCGTGAAGTAATTGGGCCGCATTCCCCTCGGCAGGTCTTGGGGCACATTGAAGCCACTTGGTTTGCCCAAGTACAGTCACTACCTGCCTTGCAGGTGCAGGCTCCGCTGGCAGCCCAATGCTTGCAGTCTGCATTCTCGCCACCGCATCCAATTGGCGGTGGGACAGTCACACTTGGGCATCCAGTGCAACCCGAACAGCTTCCATTGGGTAGAAGGTAGTTCCCTGTCACACATGGGGTGTTCCATTCATGGTTGCAGGTAAGGATCTTCTGGTCCCACCTGGTTCCTGCAGGGCATGGCATTTCCTGGGGACCATAAGGGGCACACTGAATGAACTTGTGACAGTCGGTAGGATGCTGCCAGTATTGCTGGCCAGTGGAGCAATCTACACAGGTGAAGTTGCCTGGTGTGACAGGTTTGTGTGTTGGAGGGTTGGTTGGGGGCTTTGCTGGAGGAGTGCATCCTGAGCATCCTGAACAGCTTCCGTTAGTGAGAAGGAAGTTGCCTGTCAAGCACTCAGTGGCCCATACATGGTTGCAGGTGAGCAGGTTTTGGTCCCAAACTGTTCCTTCTCCGCATGGCATCTCCTGAGGACCGTACGATGTGCACTGGATGAACTTGCGGCAGTCGCTGGGATGCTGCCAGTACTGTTGGCCGGTAGAGCAGTCCACGCAAGGGTACTCAATTACAGGAGGCTTCGTGACGTCCACATTGCCTTGGCATCCACAGCTGCGGGACAGGCACGGGCGACGAAGTGCTGCCAAGAGCAGTCACCATCCGTCCACTTGCAGTGACAGTCGTTGTTGGCGGCCCAGAACTTGCAGTCAGGCTGTTGAGAAGACCTTTGAATGAGTGTCATATGATAACTATTATAACTGATGCCTGCTTATTAGCTTATTTGTATCAATTATTGGAGAAAGAAAGAGAAGGAGCAACTTACATCGGAATCGAAGACGTTTTCATTGCAAGGGCCAACTGTTGGATCGATAGTCGGGCAGTGGACATTTGAAGCGATGTCGCACATGCGGGTATCGGGGTTGAACAGCAGGCCTTCCGAGCAGTACTTCTTCTCCGCCTCGTTGTCCTTGCCTGGAAATTGAATAAAATCATAATTAACCTTGTAAAAGAATGCAATTAATAGTGGAAAATAGGATTATCACAATAAGGTTAAAAGGATGAAAATTAGAACATATTACATGGGCAGTTCATTAATAACAATTGCAAGGTAAAGATTAAATAGTTGTATTTTTTATTACCATTATTATTACTTACAGTCATAGTATGCATTGCACTCCCCGTCGACTGGGTATCGGCAATGGCAGCCACAAATGATTGGTTTAGGGCATTCATAATTGGTTGGAAGATCGCACTGTTCCTTTGCAGGATTGAACACCAGATCACCTCCGCACTCCTTGACGTAGGCAACGTTATCCTGTAATGAAAGCAAAGAACAATAGTGTTTTTGTTACTGCATTTGATGGATGCGGCCATCTAATGAAGGCAATTTTAGATACAACAGAAATGTATACATTTTCTTTTTCAATAACAGCTTTATGATTTTTTGTGATTCTAATCTAATAAAATCACGCTTTCCTTAGTCATAAGTAAAGTTGAGTGCAACATCCGAAGAGGTTTTAGGGGGCGTCGCCCGTCCTACCTTGCACTCGTAGTACTTGTTGCAGTCCTTGTGTGGCTTGAGGCAGCAGTCACAGTCGCACTGGACGGAAAGGTCCGACTCTGCGGGCAAGGATCGACTGGCCTTAGCGGACCGAAGGGAACATCCGACGGTCTCCAGCCGCTCGGTTATGTCGCACTGGAAGGATGTGGTTTTTGTGAAGCTGATTTCCATTCAGAATTATAGGCAATGTATGGCCAGAGTTGTATCATATAACACCAAGATATTTGTTATGATGCATATATTCATATATATACAGTCACATACATGTATATAGGTAAATGTACATACAGATATACAGTCACATGTACGTGTATGTATTTATTTATGGGTATGTATATATATATATATATATATATATATATATATTATATATATATATATATATATATATATATATATATATATATATATATCTGCCTATATGCATACATACTTTCATGTATGTCTATATATTTGTATACATGTACAACTATATATAATAAATGCATTAAACATACACATATGTATATACGTATATATGTATTCTTGTAAGCAGAAATATACATATATGATATACTTATATATGCAAGCTAAATATTCATAGACATTTATATGCATAAACGTATTTGTATATTTACATATATGCATACATATACCTATATATCTTATATGTATATGTGGTTTTGTGAGTGCATGAATATATTTGTATGTCCATGGATTTGTGTAAATTTATGTTTGCATATATATAAGTATGTATGAATAAAATATATACATACAGATATATAAATGTATGTGTATGTCTGTGTATGCATATGAATAAACATATAAGAAGAGACAGAGGTGAATATGCTTGGCCTTACCTTGGCGTTCTCCGCGTGGTCACAGCTCCCAGAGGCCTCGTTGAAGTGCAGGTTGGCGGGGCAGGTCTCGACGTAGGCGTGGCCGTGGGCGCACTTGACATAGCGGTGGCAGTCGTCGGTCGGTGCGCGAACAAGCCGTTCGGTTCCGGACAGGTCAGCTTGGAGCAGATGCTGAGACCTACAACGAAACTTAGCGATACATATCTACAAACATTTATATAAACACAGGCATAGATATTTATATAAAGACCATGTTGGTTGGACCTTCTTCTAGTGTCCGTAGATTAACATGCGTACAAGCACCCCGACTTTGCTGACCAGTTGAGTGGGCTGTAAAAGGATGGCCGAGCTCTAGCACCTCCCAT